CAGCAGCAGCAGCAGCAGCAGGAGGCAGAGGCCCAGCGCGCGCCGCGGGCCGCGAAGCATGGTCGGCCCCGGGTTCCGGCCCCTGCGGCCGCCGGCCTCGCCAGGCTCCTTAAGTCCCGGGGCGCGGGGGGCGGGGCCGTACTTCCGAGGCAGGCGTTGGCCGAAGAGGGACGTTGTCATGGCGACCGGCCGGGCGGGCGCGCGCTCGCCTACGCCTGCCAGCTCGCCTCGTGACCCAGGCGGGGAAACGAGACCCGGAGGCCATCCCGAAGCATATTTCAGGCCCGGTCCACCCAGCTGGCTTCCAGGAAGCAGCCTATTCTAGGAGGTCATTGCGGTTGTGGTTGCCAAGAAGGTGAAATCAGGCCTTGAAATGGCCACCGTCGGTCACTCCACAGCCTTAGTGGCCCATCTGAGGCCTACCTAGTAAGGACACCCATGCGTGCCCTGCCCAGTGTCTGCAGACTAACTTCCTGCCAACCTGTTAGATGAAGCTGGGGAACCATCTTAGCCAGGAGCGCTGTGTTGCCCGGGGGCGTCAGCTGAGTGGAGAAGCCCTGAGAAGAACGGGGGCAGCAGGGAGCCTGAACGGCCAAGATCGCTCTGGCTCCTCCGCAAAGGGAAATGAAACACAGCAAATAACCAGTAGGTTTCCACAGCTGGGAGTCCGCCACAAGCGAGAGGAAGCCGATGGGCAGTCAGGAGACATTTGGGTCTTGGAAACCCCCCGTCAGGGGAAATCATAACGTCTCACATCACTGTAATTGTATCTCATGAAAAAGAAGTTAGGCTAAGTACTGTGTGCACTTTCTGTGTTGGCTAGGTTTGCAACTTTCAAGTGCTTGTGACTCAGCAGTCCATCAGACAACAGTGGCAAAAGACTTGAGGGCCTATTTCCCCTCTGAGCTCCCTTCTTTGTAATAAGGAGCACAGAACAAGTTTGTTAGATTTCAGAAGAGCTTAATGCACTTTTCAAAATCACCTGAGACTTACTAAAGCCAATGGCCTAACAACCATCTTGTCCTAGGAGGAAAATGCTGTCTAGACAGATTTGGGGACTTGACTAATGTCATATGTTGTTTAGTGGCTTTAAGGTTGGACTCTCCAAAAAGTAAGGTGAATCCTAGCACCATGTTTCACAAACGTCACAGGCAAATTGACTCATTTGTTCATCCCAGTCTCTTGGATCACACTCAATGCCAGGGGTGCACCATCCTCACAGCCAGTCACCAAATCTGTGCCTGCCTTTTATTCAAATAGCTACAAAAACCAGTTAAGCACTGCTGTAAGGACACCATGAGAGTTAAGTTGAAAAGCAATGTATTTTATTTTGCATCCTAGCCACTCAGAGTGAATTCAAAATTGAATCCAAACTTTCCATAGAGCACTGGCCATGGCACCAGTACAGCATTAAGTGCAATCAAGCTCATGGAATCCTTCAGAGGACAGTTAACAATGAACACACCATAATGCTTATTAGTGACTAATTGAGTGGGTCCTACCATCTTCTATTTGTGTAACCTTGGGTGTTACTGAGGCATGGGGTGGGCCCTATGCCTCCATTTTCCCACCTATACAATAGAGATAAGTCACCTCATAGGGATGCTGTGTAGATTAAATGAGCTAATTCAATGAGTGCATCATAAACACTCAATAACATGCTAACTTTTATTTCTGTATATGCCCAACCCTGGAGTAGGCTCTGGATGGTCTACACAGGAGGCTTGGATGGCTTTAGTTAATACTGCTGAAGTTTATGGGTGAATTTATGGTGATAAAATTACTAATAGTAACAACAGCTTATTAAAACAATCCAAGTTTTAAGACTTTGCGGAAAGAGTTACTTCTGTACTTGTAACTTTCATGTAGGGTTAACTGCTGATTTTTGAGATGTTTTGATTTGGATTTAGCATTTTATGGTAATGTGGGTAGCTGGGAAGTTCTTGGGCAACCAACTTGATTTCAAGACACTTTTTTCCCCTAAACAAATAGAGGTAAACATTTTCAGCAGTCAGTCCCACAGAAACGAATCCAAACACCAGTTACTAGACAAGTCTCTTGAGTATTTCAAAAAATTGCTGATACATCATTCTTAGGGCTTGGAGGCTGCTGGTTGTAAAAGTAGGAGCGAGATGTCATGGATGATGGGGACGTCTAGAGGCTACTGTGAAAACTACATGCGGCTATGATTCCTTAGCAAGCATAATGATGCGACTCAAGTGTGGCACTGGCACCATCTGGGAGCTTGTTAGAAATGCAGAATCTCAGGCCACAGAACTACTGAATCAAAATCTGCACTTTAACAAGGTCTAAGAGAAACTGGGCACACAACACCTTTATTAATGTCACCTGAATGGGACCTAGCTTTACAATAGACATTCCCAGCCCCACTAAGACAATCAACCTTCTACCTTGAAAACAATCTTTGTGTAAAAATCAAATCTCTAGCTCTACATAAATAAGCCTGGAATATAAAAAACAAATTCTGAAGACAAAATGAATGTTTCACAGCTCATCTATATATGCCAATGGTTCATTTGTTTTCATCTGTCACAGAGTACTTTGAGGCATCACAGAGGACTGAGAATGTACTCTCAAGAGACAGGGCACACCAAGGTCTCCTGATGAAGGCTACAGGAGACTTGAAGGGAGATTTCTGGTGACCCGGGTACTGAAAACACAGCACAGACCCAGGACGCTCTGCATCTTGTAAGCGTACAGAGCTGCATTTCTGGAGTCAGGTTCTATACACACGTCAAGCCTGGATCAATCTCTTCACTTCGGTCCTGCCCACTCCTAGCCCCCCTCCCCCCCATGATTCTTTCCTGCTCCTTATTTCTGCTGTAATTAACTTAGTCATTTCTGAAGTATCTGATGCCTCGCAGTTCTCTTCTGCCAGGAGTAGGCTATAGGCTCTTTGATGGAAGGAAAGTCACTATCATCTCCCTGGCATCCATGCTCACAGTGCAAAGACCAAATGTCTATTGAAGAAAGGCCCAACACCTCACAAATTGTGATTTAACACCATTATCCCCTGAGATTTATACTGCAACTTATCTTACAAAACCCCACCCATGGGGCCAGCCCAGTGGCGCACTCCGTAGAGTGCAGCGCTTGAGAGTGTGGCGGCGCTCCCGCCGAGGGTTCGGATCCCATGTAGAGACCGGTCCGCTCACTGGTTGAGCGCGGTGCGGGCGCAACACCGAGGGTTGCGATCCCATTGCCGGTCACGAAAAAAGACAAAAAGGCAAAACCCCACCCATGGAAAACCAGTGGTTATGACCATTCTTGTCTGCTTTACAATGAGAGGGCTGATAAAAATCAGTTTTACAGGCAAACACACTGGGTAAAATTACCCAGCAACAGAACCACCCTCGCTACTCCCAGCTGCCTTTTTCAAGCTCCAAAACCAGTCTGATATGTGGTGAGTCAGTGAGGAATGTGTACCAGGTTCAGCCACCCACATACATTCAAGTACAAATGACAGACTGGCACAAATATGCTGCAAATCAAGTAGAAATCTTAAGGACTCTACATCATTGTCTGGTTGAGGTCTAAGATGCTGGATTTCCATTTCAAAAGTTAAAAATCTGGTGTCATAAAATTATGCTCAGGGTAACTGGCCCTCTTCCTGATTCTATGGTACTATGCTGACATGTTCTTCAGGGTTCATAATTGTTTACTTTTAAGGATGCTACAAGGAATGGAGTTAACTACTAAATACTGAAAAGCACCTGAGTGCTGGCCTGTTGGCTCAGTCGGTTAGAGCATGGTGCCAATAACACCGAGGTCTGGGGTTCGATACCTGTATCAGCCAACAAAACAAAAGCACCTAAGAATGATCCTATGGAAAATTTTGGTACAGTTACAACCTGGTATGGGCCTTTTAGACTGGTGAGGAAATGTAAAGGTCTTATGCATCAGATATTGTGAAAGTTTAAGTGGATGCAAAATGTAATCTTCTGTTCCTAACAGAACAGGTAGGAAATTGGAACAGAAAACACTGGAAATATCCTAAAAGAGGGGAAAAAAAAAGAGTAAGAGGAAAAGATGACAAAATAATATTTATTAAAATCTTTATTCATTTTCTTTTCAGGATTGAAATCCATAGAACACATTAGAGATTTAGGTGCATATCTGTCTTGTCTTACCAAGTACAACCTCTATTTGTGCAACAGCTCTGAGAGGAAATCCTTGGCAGATCCAAACAGAGGGAAGTGGTTCCTACACTTCCCATTTAAGCAAATAAATTAGCTTTCCAGCAATTTATTCTGTTTCCCCCCAAATTTTGTGTTTGTGAGGAACACCTTAGTTCCTAAAAATCTATGGCAGTACAGTACCCAGCCCCTACTTTTTTCACCATCCAGGCTTGAGGAACCAAAGGGAGAAAAAATAGCCTTCTCCCGTACAAAAGCTTCACAAAGTCAGGTCTACCTGGCTCACCAGTGTGCCTGGCCAGTGCTGCCACACCAGGGTTGCTCAGTAGATGTCTGCTGAATGACGGTCTTTATGCCACTTAGGGTCCACACTCAGAGACTGAGAAGAGAACCTTTCACTAGCTTCAAGTCCTTCAGCAATGTAAGTCAGTGTTTCCCTGTGTCAAAATAAATACGTTTTTCTTGCTAGAATACATATATAACTATATACATACATATACCTTTACTCACGTTTCCTGAAGCTCAAGCTGACAAGATGACTCATACAAGACAGCTCACTGACATAACGCTGTTTTACCATCATCATTTACTGGTCAAAGAAGAATACAGGGATGATTGAGAGTGGAGGTAGAAAGAATACGGTGGACAGGAAGGGGAGGCCAAAGCATTTTTTTAAAGAAAAGAAAAGATGTATTTCTTTGGAAGACAATGCTGTCTTCAGATGACATTAAAAACTGTCATCTATAGGATTCATCTTTCCCAAAATAATATGCAATGGATGTACCTGGATTCTTCTATTTCCTTCTTAAATTTCATTTGACATATTAACCCTGAGTGCAAATAGGGAGAAATGTCTTATAAATACATTATTGAATACTCTGAACAAATGAGATCTTATTAAATTGTTTTATACAGAAAATAATTTACACTCCTTCCCAAGCCCACAATGCAGTCACATATTAAAGAACAGTTTTAGAATGAAACCTCTATCCCCGAATTTTCCCATTTGAGCTTTGGAATAAACATTTTTAAGAAGTGGGAGGAGGGCAAGAAATGGCAATCAGTTCTGATTTTCCTAGTTTTATAATATTAAAGTGTATTCACAACTACCTTTAAATGTTTGGTAGGCACACCTAACTTAGAGCTGACCAAAACCATCCAATGATTGGATTTTAAGCCCTAGATTCTAATAAATAAACCATAAAAAGGACAGTGTTACAAAACTTCTTAAAAAGATATTTACCTCTTTTTTCAAACAGAATTTAGTGTTTGTGAATTTTAGGGGTGTAAGTTTATGGTTGGTTTTCTCCAAGATTTGCCTAAACATACTTTTCCAGCTTAATCCAATCCTGATTAGAACATAAATTTATATTCTCAGTGCCACCACTCTATTAGCTTAATTCTAACTTGAACCATTATATCTTTTAAGGTCATGAATTTGAAAATAGTAGGGAAAAGAATAAATGATACATTTTCTGCAAATGCTTTGAAGACAGGATGAGACATTTTCCAAAGCAGCTTTCTCTCCTGCTTTTTCCTTATCGGAATCTTTTGCTTCCAATGTTATGAAGTTCCCCGTTACAGAAAACTGTTATTCATTTCAGTGTGGCGTACTAAAGGCATCATGTGTTGAAAGAACATTAATCCATAATTTAGTTCAACTAACATTAATGAAGGAGAGTACAGCTGACTTCCTTCCTGCTGTCTCTGCCCACTGGCTCTCAGAAGCTTTGGGGTAAGCACTATCCAAGGTATTCTCAAGCTGAATTGTGAATTTTCCTGGACACACAGCAAGCAGCCTTAAAATTGGAATCAATGCCTCCTTTTGTTAACCTATTTCAGTGTTTTGTGCTAATAATAGCTGTATCTTAAATTCAATACCTTTTTTTTTTTTTTACTCAACCTATTCAAATGTCCATCTTAAAATGTATATAAAAAGTACAAAATTTTCCTAATTTCATGCTATTTTAAAGTATTGCAGGTTACTCATTTTTCAATGTGAGAAAATTGGGACATAAATTCTAATTTTTGAAAGGGTGGTTGCCTAAACTGGTCTCCAGTGGTTGGCATTAAATCTGTTCAACCACACAGTTTAAATATTAGTCTCTGCTTGACAGAAACACAAAACCAGAACAGCACCTAGACACGATGCAGGAGAGAAACACCCAGCTCTGAGGACACAGGTGAGCGGGCACACGAGCCTGTCTTCCTCTGGCCCTGTATTCTACTACAGCTGCTTACATGCCAAAACCACTGTGCCAGAACACAAAACAAAACCTGTGCTTTAGCAACCTGAAATTTAAGAGCGCTCAGAGGAGATGGAAGAATACTACTACATCATGGGTTCACAACTCCAAATGAGACTTAAAGATGAAATTAGGATTTGACATAAATCAAAATTTTAAGGCTCTTCCTGGTAACCTCCTTAATTTCAAGGCTCAGAAGGCTTAAAATCTTTGTTTCTAGTCTTCTGCATGGCCCAGACCACAAGATAAGTCCATTCACCAGCACAGTGTACACTATCATCTGTATGAGTAAGCTGCCTTTGCTCACAAGAAAGGCACAAACAGGGTAGCCAATCTCTTGCGAATAGCAGCTTCAATGACCAAATGCCCTAAAGGCAGAAGTGAAAATTCATTTCAGAAAATAAATGAGAATGGCAGAGATCACAGGCAACCTGACTCTTATTCAAGGTATTGTTTCAGTTTGTCTTGTTAATTTGGAAAGGATTTGACAGCTTTAGGTAAAAGGGAAAAAAATTAGTCTCCACAAGAGAATCATGCTTAGGATGTAACAGTATTTTCTCTAGAGACAATTTTTTGGTTACTTTGAACACAACTATGAGAATGCAGATTTTACTTAGGGACAAAGCCATGTTTGCTTTTTGCACACCCTAAGAACCTAAATACAGGGGAACCTGTTTTTCACTAATTCAATCATCTCCCTAATTCTGGTTCTGCCGAGTAGGTCTTTTTTCTTCCTTCCCCGATAGGAAGGAGAATACTGCTCAACTGCTCAAAAGCCCAACCATCTTCCTGCTTCTACTCTTCCCTCCAATTCTATCTTAAAAACACATCCCCTCCAACAGAGCATGCTATTTTGGCTTGACAGAATGCAAAGTTTTATTTGCTGCCACTCCGTAGGAGGCAGTAAGCTTTCCAATTTGACTAGTTCTGGTAAAAAAAGACACAAGAGATTGCAAAGTGTTTCCACAAAACCCACAGGTGTGAAGAAAGGACTGGAAGGTTCAATTCAAAACGCACAATCCAGAACCAGTCCCAGCATTTGCCTATTCAAATGCCACACCTGTTTGTCCTTTGGCATGGGAAGTAAGACTGACCAACTATGACGCCCATTTTAGAATGGGCAACTGCCGAGGAAGTCAGAATGTGATTCAGCAGTAGCACCTCTGTGCTCTGAAACTTCAGGTCTTTGCTTTAGTTTCTACTACAGAAACACCAAAGACATCCAAGGCCACCCTGTCCCCTATCATCAGAACTTGCTGCTGGCCATTTCCAATCCATCTCAAACCATTTGGAATTGATTGTGCTGTTTCTCTACCTTTGTAAAAAGAAGTTTCACTTATTTTTGTATTGAGAATTACAAGTGGGAGAGAGGCATCCTGTCTTCTACCAGCACAGTGTCCATCCCAAACTGGTCAGTGCACTGCTTCACGGTGGTCAGGACACTCAGGAGCCGCTGGTCCACAGCATCCAGATGAGGATCAGAGAGCACTGGGGAGATGGGGTCATGGGCCATGGCAGATTTTAAGGCAGACTTTAGCACACCATTCTTTAGGCAATTCAGTCTGTTCCAGGTAGAAACTCGAATGCTGGAAGAGACAAAAGTAAAAACAATAATTATGTAAAATATTTTAATTTAAAAAATTATTTGTTTTAAAATTATGAGTAAGCCATTACCATGTTTTGATGTTTTCTGGGTAATCAAAGATATATATGAAGATTTACACACATATATTACTGTGCTATTTATAACAGGAAAAATGTGAAACAATCTAAATGTCCGACAATTGGGAAATAATTAAATTATGGCACATCTATTCAAGGGAATACCATACAGCCATTAAAAATACTTTTGAAAATTTAGTGGAATGGGAAAATGCCCATGATATAATGTTGGGCGGGGGAAAAAAGTTAGAGGAAAAAAACTGTTTTACTCCACATCTGTGGGGAAATAAAATGTGTGTTTGTGCAGAATGAAGTACACCACGGTTTTTTTTTTTCTTTTTTCTTTTTAAAAGATGACTGGTAAGGGGATCTTAACCCCCGACTTGGTGTTGTCAGCGCCACGCTCTCCCAAGTGAGCTAACCAGCCATCCCTATATAGAGATCCAAACCTGTGGCCTTGGTGTTATCAACACCACACTCTCCCAAGTGAGCCACGGGCCGGCCCATATACCACAATGTTAAAAGGAGTTATCCTCAGATGTTAATGGGTAATTTTAATTTTCTTCTTCATATGCTTCTGAATTAAAAAAAAAAATTCTACCATTAATATAAATAGGAAAAAATTTATTTTAAGGATACCCATTTTTCTTCATTATTTCACCAACTGCTAAGGTTTGAATGTTTGTCCCCTCCAAAACTCATATTAAAATTTAACTGCCATTCTAACATTATTAAGAGGTGGAATCTTTAAGAGGTAATTAGGCCATGAGGACTCTGCCCTCATGAGTGGAGCTAATGCTGTTATGAAAGGGCAGGTTTGGCCCTTTTCTTGTCCTCTCTCTCTTTGCCCTTCTGCCATGTGATGACATAGCAAGAAGGGCCTCACCGGATGCTGGCACCTTGATACTGGACTTCCCAGCCTCCAGAACTGTCAGCCAATACATTTCTGTCTCTCTTTTTTTTTTGTCCTTTTTTGAGACCAGCCGTACCGCACTCAGCCAGTGAGCGCTGTGAGTGCACCGGTCATCCCTATATAGGATCCGAACCCGCGGCGGGAGTGCTGCTGCACTCCCAGCGCCACACTCTCCCGAGTGCGCCACGGGCTCGGCCCCATTTCTGTCTCTTATAAATGACCCAGTCTGTGGTATTCTGTTACGGCAGCACAAAACAAACAAACACATCAACTAAAGAGGATCATTTATCTCGAAAGAAAAGTTCATACTTCTCTGTGGGTATAAGGGAAATGACTAAGTATGCAGAAATGTCTGACTCTGCAAGAGGCAGTCTGTTCTGCAACTATTTTAAGAGTAAAGGAGATCAATCTTTGCGTAAAGCATGGAAGGGACAGACAAGCAGACACAATACAGTTTTTTAATTCTGAAATATACTCATACTATAAATGACCTGAGTCTCAGTTTCCCCTGAGTGACTAAGTTATCACTTTATTGTCTCTGACCTTCAAATTCACTCTTCAATATATGCTCTGCTTACAATGGACAGAATTCCTTTAAGGATCTGTCCTTTTAAGCTTTCTCAGTAGAGGGCGCTGGAGGGACACTGTAAGAAGAAAGCTCTCAGGATGCTTCTGCCTACTGCATAGTGGATTGGTGTGGGCATGGGGGAAAAGTCACCCAGTGAAGCTCTGTCCCAGTCACATTCCCAGAAGGTGCAGGACTCTCAGTGACCTTGAAGCCTCAGCCTGCCTAGGTGATAACTCTCCTGAGGCCCTCTTGACAGGGCAACCAGAACCCTGAAGGCCACCTGCCCATGCTAGCACCCTGATTCCCTCTGCAGACCCACAAGTGTGACTTGCCTGTAGCCCAGAAGGTTCCTATTGAGTCATCCCTTCGTTTGCATGCCATGATGCCAGTTGCTGACTGCCTGGACCCCAACTTCACTCTGGAGGATTGCTTCTGGCTTGCCCAGCACCTGCAAACCAGCAAACTTCTCTGCTATCCAATGTGCTGAAATACACCTTCTCCATTGAAGTCCAAACTCTAGCCTTAGGGAGGGGATCCCCTTCTAAGTTTGTCCTTCTTAGGAACTTCCCTCAGCCCTAGTTTTCTTTTATAGTCACTTTTGTATTAGAATTTAACAATTCTTTATATTAAATACCCTTGGTTAACACACACTGTCTTTTCTCTCTCCTTGTTGGACCAAACTCATAACACTATTAATACAAAAACATCTTCCTTCGAACATAAATACAGTTTTTGATTATGTGTATCACTACTTCCCAATATTAATAAAGATAATTAAGGGTTGTCTGGGTAAGCTGTTACTTTCTGCAGAATTTTGTGCTACTTAAGAAAGAAAGAAAAAAAAAGAGCAGACCAATTGCTAGGATGGGCAGTCTTATGTGATATGAGTGTTTCTGGGAGTTGACCAGTATTAAGTGGTGCGCCTAGATTTGCTTTTCTGCATAGCCAAGCAAGGTAGATCCCAGCTAATTCTTGATGTGGATGCTTTAAAATTACACAAGGAGGGCCGGCCTGTGGCTCACTCAGGAGAGTGCGGTGCTGATAACACCAAGGCCACGGGTTCGGATCCCATATAGGGATGGCCGGTTCGCTCACTGGCTGAGCGTGGTGCTGACAACACCAAGTCGAGGGTTAAGATCCCCTTACCGGTCATCTTTTAAAAAAAAAAAAAAAAAATTACACAAGGAATGATGATCTGAGAAGGAGCTCCTTAGAGCCCAGTCTTTATCTTGTTTTTGTGATTTACTTTTTTATTTCTTTATTCTCTAATGTAGATTTTAATAAAAATAAATTAAATACTTATGGAAAAAGTTACTTTGGTTTAGACAATTTCAAACTGAGATATGCAAATCCTAGGTGGTATGTAATACATGACTGAGAGGACTTGAAACCACAAGGTAAAACAGGTTCAGTAACAAGGAATACAGATTTTTACGAGATTTTTTTTTTTTTTTTTTGGTCAGGAGGTAGGGAAGGAGAAGAGATGATTATATTCTGACACTAAACCAAACATGGATATGTATTATTGAATAGACGACAAACTTCTAACCGTACAATTTTAAAAATAAATTCTGAGCTTTGGGTTACCTGCCTCCACCTTTCCCTGATCCCCCATCTCAGGATCTTCAGGGGTTCTAGGTTAGAAAAGTATGAAAAGTGCTGCTCAGGTATCAGAAAGCTTTAAGGCCAAGAAAACTGATGTACTGTTACCTGAGCCTGGAAAGGAAGGCAATCCAGGCACATGTATTTGCTGGGCATAACTTACATGCAACACTGATAGAGAGGGGCAAGAATGCTTCTCTCATCCAGCGAGGGGTTCCCAAAGCTGAAAATTAAATTAAAATGTAGTGAATTAGGTGGAAGTTCCAGTTCCCTTCTTAGCATCAAAGCAACCGCAAATTCTATACGAAACCCAAATTTGATCCTAGATAATTTCATGCTCCAGCAACTCAAATCACTTAAATTAAAAATAAGCAGGGCATGACCAGTTAGACACAAGATCCCTAACAGCCTGTACTTAAGCATCTAATAACAAATATACTCATTTACAAGGACCCTTTTTCCTGCCAAGATATTGCAAGGTGCTGGAGCATAACTATGGTAAACACAGTGTGTAATTCACAGACCAAAGGGAGAACTTGAACACTCCTAAATCTGAAAAGGTTTTAAGGGATGGGAGATAAAGGCTATTCATATTAGGTTCCCACAAACAAGCAGATGGCTATTACTTGTAAAAATAAGTTACACTTGTTCTACTCCAAAATTACCAATATCCTATCCCCTATAAGTATATAAACAGATTCAAAGTGGAAAAACTGCCCACAGAGGGTGAGAAAACACTGATTCAAAGTAGATGTAACAAAAATCTCAGCAGGAAATGAGAGTTAGAAAAAGAGAACCAATTCTGGAAAAAACTGTCCACCTTCTACTCTTCCTGGAAGCTCACAGTAATAGCCGGAGAGTCTGGTAGACCTTAGTCTGTAGGACCTCCGATAATAAAAGGCAAAGGCAACTTCTATGGTCTGAATGTTTGTGTCCTCCTCCAAATTCATACACTGATACCTAATCCCCATTGCAAGAGTATTAAGAGGTGGGGCTTTTGGGAGGTGATTAAGTCATGAGGACTTGCCCTTATAAATGGGTACCTTCATAAATTAGTGCTCCTAGGAAAGAAACAGTTTTCCATTTTTTTTTTTTAAGTCCTCAGACCTCTGGGCGTGGAGGGAAGGATGGGTGCCAACAGCCAGGACACCAAGTGGAAAAAGGAAGGGTGACTTCTATCAATTGTGTTCTGAATGTATTCCAGGGTACTCTAGAAAATGTTCTTCTTTTATACACAGAAACCCCTAACTGACAAAGACAGTCCTACTGGCATTACCTCTTGGCATTATCGAGAAGGATGAGCATACTGGCGCCTTCATCATCTTGAAAGCTCTCATAGTGATGGCGGTCAGCATTGCCAATCAGATAATCAAAGACAGCTGTGTCAATGATGTCCAAGAGGCGCGGGCCGGAGTCATAAGGGGACGTTTTCTTCACAGCGTCGCAGTAGCTCTCATCGTACTCCCACCTGGAGGCAAGCAGTATCACCAGGGTTACTGAGTGCCAACACTGTACCTGGCACTATTAAAAACAAATAGGGGCCGAGCCCGTGGCGCACTCGGGAGAGTGCGGCGCTGGGAGTGCAGCAGCGCTCCCTCCGCGGGTTTGGATCCTATATAGGGATGGCTGGTGTGCTCACTGGCTGAGTGCAGTGCGGCAGGTCTCAAAAAGGACAAAAAAAAAAAAAAAAAAATAGAAGATAGAGTCCCGACCTAGTGGATTTGCCACAGACCCCACAGTTTTTATTTTCGGACAGAACTGCTGGCTCCTATACAGGGTTGGCACCTGGCCAGGCGCAGGGGAGAATTAAGCAGTGGCTCACAGGAGAATTTACCTGGCCAATTTGCCTTCTCGGTAAGTCCTGCCCCATGGGTGTCGGTGTTTCTGCAGAGGCCACACATCTGGAAGCCAAAGTGTGACAGATCCCTCCATCGTGTCTCCATCAGCACAAGCTGGCTCTGTTTCTCGGCAGTAATAACACTTCCCATAGAAACAACTATTGTTTCCTAAAGAACAGAAAGGACCCAAATACACTAAGGAAAAAATGAGGACTCCAAATTCTCTCTCAAACAACGTAAAAGAGGGCAGCTAAGTAAACAGGCACTCTGAAAACAAAGATGCTGAACTTACTGTATTTCACACATTAATTTTCCCGTAGGTAATAAAAGCACATGGTGTAAAAAAAATTCAAAAGGTGCAAAAGGATGAATACTACAAGTTTCCCTCCCACTCTGCCCCCTTCTACCTAGTCTCTCTCCCAGGAGTCAACTACATTACAAGTACCTCCTTCTGAGCTCAGTTTACTTGACAGAAGACAATGTCCTCCTTTTCATCATCAGGGCTGAGATTTTGGCCAGAGTACCAAAGGGAAGGAGATAGGGGGCATGTGCTGGGCCAAGCTGTGGTCAGGAGTTTGGTTACTTAAGGGGGTTGGGAAGGGAAGAGTTAAGCAAATAAGTAAATAGAGGATAATGGGAACCAGGTTTCTCACAGATGGAGAAGGGATTAAACATATAGAAAGGGAGAAGACCACAATAAATCCTGTGGTGTTGAATTAGAATTGGAGATAATTGGTTTGAATTGATGGTTTTAATACACACACACACAGATACAGAAAAAGATACAGATGTTATCTGTGTATATATGTACATATATATACACTTCCTACCTCTGTCCTTCAAGAGAACCTAAAAACAATGACACCCAGGTAGTAATGAGCACACCTAGCACCCACATTTTAGTTTCTAAATACCATTTTAAAACTACATGAAAAGGAATTAGGGCACCTTGAAGAAACAGCTGACTCTAGGGCCAGGGCAGGAAAATACAAGATGACCATGTACCATATTGTTACACCAGTTACAAGGAAATGCTAGGTGAGTTAACAGGACCATTCCAAAATGACTCAGGAGCTAATTTGTAGAGGTGAAAATATGAGACAGTTTGAGCATCAAATAAATAATAATAGTAATAAATTGTAACTCTGAATAAATTAAGTCTGTGAGTTCATAGTGATATAAATAAATAAATGTGTGTGTGTTTGGGGGGTGTTTTACCCTTCAACAGAATGACAACTAATAAGTCTAGAAGCAATGACAGAATTAAAAAATCACCATTTGGCAACTATTATAATAACTGATTCAGATAAAAATGATCAATAAATGCTGAAACTGGTGAGTGGAAGTTTGATAAGGAATGGAATATTTATATAGTTCTATCTAGAGTACCTCCCTACAAAGTACTTAGTAATTATTTACTAGTAAATACAAAATACTTATTAACTTTATACTGGAGAAACCTTGCAACCCACCACCTTAGTTAAGTGATAACATTATCAGTAATGGGACATATCAACAAATCTACATCATGTATTTCTTGATATGATGTACAGTACAAAGAATAGCACAATATCACTTCTCTGGTATTTTTGCCAAAAATTTGAAATCATGAGGAAACATAGACAAACCCAGAGACAGTCTATAAAGTAACTGGCCTGCACTCTTCCATAATGTCAAAGTCATAAAAAAATAAGGACAGTGAGGAATTATTAAAGACTGACGGAGGCTAAAAAGAAATAGTAATTGAACACAACATGTGATCCTGGATTGACATAGGATATATTACAGGGACTAGTGGCAAAATCTGAATAGGGTCTATGAATTAGATGGTGATATTGGGTCAATGTTAATCTCTTGATTTTTTTTTTTTTGTCTTTTTTCGTGACCGGCAACGGATCGCAACCCTCAGTGTCGCGCCCGTACTGGACCGGGACCGGCAACGGGACCGCAACCCTCGGTGTTGCTCCCGCACCTCGCTCAGCCAGTGAGCGGCTGGTCTGTATGTGGGATCCGAACCCTCGGCGGGAGCGCCGCCACACTTCCCAAGAGGTGCACTGTAGCAGTGCACCACCGGGCCGGCCCCAATCTCTTGATTTTGATGGCTGAGTGTGGCTGTGTAGGAGTGTCCTGGTAGTTGGGAAATATTCACTGAAGTTTTAAGGAAGCATTAAATGGAATAATGGGCATTCATGTCTGCAGCCTATTCTCAAATGGTTTAGAAGTGTTAACAAGTGAGAAATCTGGGGAACTCTGTAGGCTGTTTCTGCAACATTTATGTAAATCTAAAATGATTTCTTTTTTTTTTTTTGTCTTTTTTTGTCTTTTTTTGTCTTTTTTTGTCTTTTTTTGTCTTTTTTTGTCTTTTTTTGTCTTTTTTTGTCTTTTTTTGTCTTTTTTTGTCTTTTTTTGTCTTTTTTTGTCTTTTTTTGTCTTTTTTTGTCTTTTTTTGTCTTTTTTTGTCTTTTTTTGTCTTTTTCCGTGTCCGGCAACGGATCGCAACCCTCAGTGTTGCCCCCGTACCGGACCAGGGACCGGCAACGGTATCGCAACCCTCAGCGTTGCTCCCGCGCCTCGCTCAGCCAGTGAGCGGGAACCGGTCTGTATGTGGGATCCGAACCCTCGGGCGGGAGCGCCGCCGCACTTCCCAAGCGGCGCACTATCCAGTGCGCCACCGGGCCAGCCCCTAAAATGATTTCTAAATAAAAAGTTTAAAAATTAAAAAATATTAAAAGGCAAGTAATGTTTCTTCTGTCCCTCCGCCTACCCCACTCCATAAAATAGAACTATCAAGCTAACTTCCTAAAGTTTCTTAAAAAAACCCTCACATACTCCTTTAACTGTTTATGTTCTTATGTATGAGGGTACGTCGAAAAGTTTGTGGATAAATGCGCTTAAAAGACAACATAAATCTTTCCGTGAATTTTTTTAATACCCCTCATATGTGTGTCCTTGAGATAGACAACATTCAAACTTCTTAGTCTAATTTCCCATCTCTGGCACAGAACACATTAAATAGAAACTAATCAACTACACAGCCACTCACAAAGCTGATTATATCACTCTCCTGTACCTTAAAAACTTTTCTAGATAAATAAGACTTGATTATCTTCAATTGAAAGACATACCCCATTTACAGTGTTTATTATTATAAAAATATAAAATTATAAATTTAACTTGATCCTATCAGATACACTAGCAGATCTTTTGGAGTATAACTAGGTATGATGATCTTAAAAGTCATAAGGAATAATAAACAAGAACTGCTAGAAAACACTTCAAAAAAAAATAGCAGAGACAATTTTGTCCAGATATAAAAAATAAATAAAGTCTTGACAGTTAAAACATTATAGACCAACTCATGAATAGACATAATGTCCAGAAACTGAGGCACACACAAATGAAAATTTATCACAGTGGAAAAAGATGGACTCTTCAATAAATGCTACTGGGACAACTGATAACCATCTGGAAAAATTAAACAATTGGATCCATTCTTCATTCCACATACCAGAACAAATTCCAACATATCAAAAATTTAAATTTGAAAAATAAAGCTATAAAAGTACTAAAGGAAATAAGGTGGAATTCTTCCACAACATTAGAGTGAGTGAACAAGGCTAAGACTGATCAATTACACTTAAAATAAAAAATTTCTATAAGGCAAGAAAATCATAAAGTCAAAATAAATTTAAAAATTGGGAAAGAATATTTACATCTTATATCACAAAGGGCTGTCCCTCCCTAGGTATGAGCTTCTACAAATTGATAAGACCAATGACACAGCAGGAAACAAGCAAAGGATATGAAAGATCAGCTAAAAGAAAACACAAATGGCTCTTAAATAAAAAAAAAAAAGCTACCTATGAAAGACAAAAACCAAAAGTTTGAGAAACTAGGAGAAAGAGTCACTCTGATATGTTACTACTGAAAATATAAACTGGTTAAACATCTATATAGGTAATTTGGCCATACCTACCAAAGTTTATTTTGTGTGTGTGTGTGTGTCTTTCTCTGGTAATTGATGTTATTTTTTTCCATCTCTTATTGCATTGTCTATGACATTTAGGGCAGTGTTGAGTAGTATTAATATAATATACACTAATACTATATTAATACTGGGATACTTGTGTACATATTCTGAACAAGAGCATCCTTATCTTGATCTTGACTTTCATTGGATTGCGTCTGATGTTTCATCAAGTATGGTATTTGCTGCATACTTTATATCTAGTTTGCCAATAATTTTGGTCATAAAAATGAGTTAATCAGTTCTATTCTTAGGTATATGCCCAAGAGAATTGAAGACCTGTTTATACAAAAACTTGAGCATGAAGTTCATAACAATGTTACCCATAATAGCCAAAAAAGTGGAAACAATCAAATGTCCATCAGCTGACAGGTAAGTGGATCAACCAAATCTGGTATACTCATACAATGGAATATTATTTAGCCACAAGAAGGAATGAAGTACTGATAGATGCTACAATATGGATGAACCTCAAAGGTATTATTCTAAATAAAAGAAGCTGGACACAAAGGGTCTATGTTTGATGATTCCATTTATATAAAATGTCCAGAATAGGTAAATCCATAGATGGAAAGTAGATTAGTGATTGCTAGAGAATCAGGAGAGAGGAGAATGGGAGAGTGACTGCAAACTGACATGGAGTTTCTTTTTGGGATGATGAAAACATACTGGAATTAGTGGTGATGGTTGCATAACACTGTGAATCTACAAAAAAAAAAAAAGCACTGAATTATACACTTCACATGGTGAATTTCATGGAAATGTATGGTGAATGTCTAAAAAAAAAGCATTGGCTTTTACCAGTGTTTTTTCTGCATCTATTGAGATTGCTATATTTTTTCTCTCCTAACCTGTTAATATAGTAAATTATATGGTAGATTTTTGTCACCTTTGCCATCATGGAATTCATGAAATAAAATCTATTTATATAATATTGTTTAATTCCCTGCTGCTTTCATTTTATTAATTTTTTTTTCTCTGCTTAACTTTTTAAATTTTTTTAATTGAATCATAATTGATTTTATATATTTTGGGGGCTCAACATTGACGTATGTTGATCAAATCAATATTATTAGCATATACATTATTACAAATCATACTTATCCTTTATGCCCCTTATCCAATCTCTCCCCGTCCCCTT